TTCCCAACTGTCTCCCGGGACAGCCCCTCCAGCTTCACCATTCGTCTCCCGGGACAGCAACCCCACTTCACCATTACTGTCTCCCAGGACAGCACCTCCAGCTTCACCATTACTGTCTCCCAGGACGCACCCCCCAGTTTCACCTTTATTTCTCCCCGACAGCCCTCCAGCTTCACCATTACTGTCTCCCAGACAGCACCTCCATTTCACCATTATGTCTCCCGGGACAGCACCCCAGCTCAGCCCCTTTTTTCCTTTTTAAAAGTAAGTAAGAAATTTTTCAGTAACACAAATACAGTTACATAGAATTATCATACATAGCAGCATAGGGTGTTTACCGGGCCCTGGAGTTTCCTGGAGAGATTTCCCGGGGGTCAACGCCCCCGGGGCCCGGGTCTGTGCCAGGCCCCGGGGGATGGCCTGATCAACCGGGCTGTTGCTGTGGCTGCACGAAAAACCAACGTACAGCCACACCCGGGCGACAGGAACGACTTTAGGGTTTGTCCGGGACCATTTGAAGACTGTAATAAAGGGGGTAGAATTACCGACAAAAAAGAAAAGTAAAAGGCCCCAAGGCAACTAATTGACATTTATGTGGCAACTTTTTCGCTCTCCGGGAGCTTATAAACCCTTTTCTTGATAAAGCTCCGGGAACGAAACGTTGCCACAATAAATGCACATTATTCACTTGTGCCTTTTTTTCATTTGAAAGCCCAGGGTCTTTTTGGTTTCCCCCCTTTATGTTCTGGAGGCATTTTTGAACATCTCGGCCCCGACACTTTTTTATGGCTCTTAACGTGCATGACACCCCTGCTTTTCTTTGGGGGGGATGGTGCGAGAATTGTAAGAACCTAGGATAACCCAAAAAAGCAGACAGAGTGACTTATTTCCTTTGGGGTCCTTTACCTTTAAAATTTTTTAAATAAAAGGTATAATATTTTCTTATTTTTTCTACAATGAAGATAACATTTTATTATCATACTAAAAAACCAAGGCGCGTGTGACCCCGATTTTTTCCCATGAATGTAAAAATAATTATATTTTAAAAACTCCTTAAAATGTACAAATATTTCATTTTAGTATTTAAGACAATTAGATACTCTACTTTTAACTCACCTATTTTGTACCACCTTTTGTGGTTGCAGGGGTCGATCAAGCTCCTGGCCCCGCCCTTTCACCGGTTCTACAGGGCCCCTCTCCCCAGCTCCATGACTTTATCAAACCCGTCTTAAAACGGGTTGGTTCCTGCCCACTACGTCTTTTCTAGGGTGTTCCCCCTGCCTTACAACTCTAGACGAGAAAAACTTCCTACATCTCTCTGACTCATTTGTGTCTTTAACTTTTCCCAAATTTTGGCCTCTTGTTTCTGTGCCCCTCCCGGGAAAATCCTGTCTTTGCCACCTTGTCTATTCCCCGCGTATTTGTCTCTTCAATGGAGGGGTGCCTTTGGGTTTATGAAGGGTTTTTTAAAATAATGAACTGGAGCAAAACCCCCCCCTCAGGGTCTTGATGTGGGAAGGGCCTTGACCGCTAAAGCCTCGCTTTAAAACGGGCGAAAATCTCGTTTCGAAATTTCCCACGAGGTAAAACAGGGCGTGGGGTTTTTTTTTTACCGGTTGTCTATTTCACCCATCAGTAAAATGGGGACCTAGGATTTGGATTTAGATTTTGCCACCGAAGTGCTAGTTTTATTGTGCAACCCCAAATCTAGGAGTTACTTCGCGGTGGGGGTCACATCCTGGACAAGACCTAATTTGCCCGAAATGCTCTGCCATAATAAAGGGGCTTTCTAATACGTAGTAGTAAAGGCCAATTGATGTCATCTAGGCCTGTTACTAGACTATACACTGACAAGCAACCTAAAGTCAGTTCCGACAGCCGTCTGTGCTCGTACTTGGTTTGCGGCAGCCAGTCAGCAACAGCCTGGTTGAATCAGGCGCTGATTCCACCAGGAGGCCTGGTCACAGACCGGGCCGTCGGGTCGTGACCCCCGAACTCTCTCCAGGTAAACTCCAGGTAAACATAGTAATTAAAGATATTATTATTTATGATTATTATTATTATTATTATTATTATATGATTATTATTTATTATTATTATTATTATGATTATTATTTAAGCCTGCTTACAAGCGCCCGCTTTCTGTCCTAGTAGTATGTCTTTGATGTCAGCTAGGCCTGTATACTGGTGCATGTTACTTTGTAGAAATCCAGATAGTATATTATTATTATTATTATTATTATTATTATTTATTATATTATTATTATAATAATATTAATTATTATTATTATTATTATACGGACCCGTGAGGGATTCTTGAATAAAAGAGTTTCAATTAAATTCAATTCAATTCAAAGTTATCGCTATAAGGATACAATGCATGAGTTTACAGAATTTGTTAAATTGTGTGGTTTACATGTAGTAAAATAATGATTACAGAGTGTACCACTAGAGTGGGACCTATTCTATCTTTCCCTACAGGTTTAGCGCTTACCTCAATAAAATAATATAATAATAAAAATAATATTATTTTTATCAGTATTATCTTACTATATTAATTTTCTTGCAATAAATCATATATTTTTTATTGGTGTGGATATACGTGTTGTGTAGAGGTGTGCAGCAGACGCCACCGCTCTTCCCAGCTCCAAAACAGACGGATAAAAATGGTGAGTAGCTGGGACTGCCTTTTTATCTTTCATCATCTGCTTCACCACTTGTAATACCACTGTGAAATACTTATATAAAGGCAAACACAGGTCTCCTACATTTAATGATGTTAGTCTTGCTTGCTTTCTCCACGGTTATTTGAAGATTCACGACATAAGAAGGGTTGTTTTGGTAATCGCCTGGCTGCTAATTTTCGTTTAAATTTTTCTCAGGCCAAAAGAACGAAGAAGGTAGGCATCGTGGGCAAATATGGTACCCGTTATGGTGCTTCCTTACGTAAGATGGTGAAGAAGATGGAAATAACTCAACACAAAAGACACATTTGCACGTTCTGTGGAAAGGTAAGAATTTTACAGTAAGGGTCAGTCTTGTTCTCATTAATAGGCTCGTCACTACTGTCGTAGGTATAATGTATAGTTTAGGGGCTCCATTTTGATACTAGTGATGTATTATGTGAATTCTCCAATATTACCTTTTGTGCAGTATGGGTAATTTAGTTTCAGGCAAATTTGGTTAGGGCTCATATTTTGGAATCAGTTAAACCCGGTCTGACTGAACCTAGGTTCAAGCATAAGTTCTAGGAAAGTTAGTTTTTTTTAATATTATTAATTTCTTTACACAAAATATAACTAGATCGATTGTACAACCGTAACAGCTTGAGGTAACTTTCTGGTTCTTACCTGTTCGACAACCTCAACCTCACTCCTTTTTTATAAGATTATTTTATACTATAATTCTAACTTGTTAAGAATTTTTTTTTTTTATATTTTATTTAAAACAATACAATACATTAAATAAATAAAAGAACATAGTATCAGTTCTTACTCCAGAATTATAAAATTACATTGTCAAAATACACATAAACATTTAAAACTTTGTGCTGACCACAAACTGCCCTCATCCTCTATACATTTTTTTTATTTTTTTTTTTTTTTTGTATTTAAAATACAGTATACATTTATACGTTAAGCAACATGTTACGAATCCAATCAACATGAAACAACAAATTATTGTACAACATACGTATATCACAATGTTCGTCAAAAAAGAAAAAGATACTTCGCTACAGGTGTACCAACAACATCTCCAGAGAAATCTACTTCACACACTTAAACATCTTATGCCAGTTTTTATAGACAAAACAATTCGTAAAGTAAAACCTCACCACATACCATTAAAACCAATACATCCCCCCCCACCAAAGGTACATTTATAAAGTCGTACATATTGCTCTGGAAGGTAGAATTAACCACCCCCATCATATACCTACAAAACAATGACATACTATAGAGGCGCAGATAACTACTTCTCAAAGTAACAATTATGAAAACTTTGCCCTAGCATCAAGGATAATAACTCTATATCTCAGCACGGGCAATCCACCCAGACTTCTTCATACACGATATACCCTAAACCATAATTAATACATACTATAACACCGATACTTGAACTCAAAGCACACCTGAATCCAACAAGTCATCTGAAATTGCGTATTTACACAAACTCAATATACAATTTTTATATTACCTTACATATACACTTAATATTACTTAAACAATAAAAAGCAAAAGAAAACAACAGCGGTACTTAAAAAATATTTAACACTACCCAACACATTACAGTGTCACACGACATGTCCTAAATTAATCTTAACCAGCCGCTGAAACCATATAGTTAGGCTTTATGTACAAAAATACAATCTCGCATAAATAAAACTTAAAACCACGTTTAACTCATACAGCTATGTAACTTCGAACCTCTGATAGACAGAAATTGTGTCTTACCAGAATGCATCCAACAAAAGGGAAACCCTGACTTTGTAACCACAGCAATTCGATACAGTCCATATGGATACCTTAGTAACACCCATTTAAGTATATGCATTCTATAACACTTTGAAGGCACTCTCACAATAAGAACAGTCGATTCTCACACACACAAAAACTTTAAGATTCTACCCTTTCATTCACCTGTATACACACAATGAATGTATGCTCCAATACATTACGTACATATACTACCAAAACTTCACACCATTAAGGGAACCATGTGTAACAAACACCACCCACACCACACTCAACTACTCAGAAAAGCATAATTGTATCATGCAAATCCCATAAGATCGACACACTTTAAAACCATCCACACATTCCGCTAGAAACTACCCTCGCTACCCATTTACACTTAAATCCCGTAAACTCCTTTTAACTTAAAACTCCGGTATCCCTCAAGTAAACGCTGTCTCCCACCTTCCCCCATAAAACATCCCTATTGCGACACTTTATTCTATAAATGGTGCCGCTAACACCTTTATTTTCCTTTTCATCCACACCCACTTCCCTCATAGCCCAAGACTATAAATAAAATCAGTAACCAAATACGCAACCGCATTCACCACCATCTGACTCATCCCACCTATATCTAAACTTAACACCCTTAACACCTTTAACCTTCCCCACCCACTACCTAACTACCTACCTAACCATACCCTTACAGCTTCTAAATAATTACAAAAAGACCGCTTGAAAAATAGTCCGAACATCCACACGCTTTGCACTCCCCTCCCTCCTTATCTCCATTAAATAACACAACCCCAGACCGGCAAGATTCCCTGTAGAAACCTAACAGTTACCTCCCTTACACCTGTTTAATACCCCAATTGCCGTAAAACATTTCCAAGATTTCCCCCACGAATACATGGGGTAGCCCCCTCAACATGCCGCCACCACAGACCCACCCCCCACCCTCTCAAGAAGCCTCAATTTAAGGTGCTTCGGTACCTCACCGTCATAAAACCCTCAACATGCCCCCAACATTAAATCCCTTACCCCCCCACCATCGTTGCATATCCATACACAGTTTTTCTAGCCCCCCTTTTCCTCGCCCCCACCTCCCCCAAATACCCCGTTTTAGATACACACTCATCAACGCTTTTCTAAATGTAAAGCCCCAGCCCCCCGTGCTAACGGAAGCGTCACCACACCTCACTTAGTCCAGTCACAACCCTATCCCCATATAAATCGAAAATCCCATGTTGCAACCGTTGCCACCTCTCGCCGCCTCAGCGGTATACTGCCACCACGCCATATCTTACAATACAACAGCACGTTCGTCACAATGACCCTCAGATGCAACGTAGCTTGCGCCGTCCTCAAACCACCCAATCTTTTCAATACCCCATCCACGTGCCCCCCCCCCGCATCGAATGTACCTCTTGTGCGACCCTAATCATCTTAGCGTACACTATCCCACCAAATCAATAGCTGATCCACCACGCACTCCCCCCGCGCCCTACAGTCCCATCTCTATTACGATATTGCCTAGGTCCTATACTTAACTTTGGCCACATTAATTTCATCCAGTAGCACTCCAACACATCTACCACCTTTCCAACCTTGTTAAATCCGTCTCATCCCTCACCAATACAGTTGTATCATCCACAATAACCCACAATACCCGCCAAACCCCTCGTCATTATAACCCTTCCACTTGCATATCCACCTAACTGCCCTATAAAAGGGATCCTGGAGGCAACACGCCAAACAATATTTGCGATGAGGGCAACCCAGGGGGGGGGGGGGGGGGGGGGGGGGGGGGGGGGGGGGGGGGGGGGGGGCGGGGGGGGGGGGGGGGGGGGGGGGGGGGGGGGGGGGGGGGGGGGGGGGGGGGGGGGGGGGGGGGGGGGGGGGGGGGGGGGGGGGGGGGGGGGGGGGGGGGGGGGGGGGGGGGGGGGGGGGGGGGGGGGGGGGGGGGGGGGGGGGGGGGGGGGGGGGGGGGGGGGGGGGGGGGGGGGGGGGGGGGGGGGGGGGGGGGGGGGGGGGGGGGGGGGGGTGGGGGGGGGGGGGGTGTCGGCAAACCCCATTCCATTCTGATGTAACACCTACCTTTCCTTTAACCTTTACTTCATAGAGGCTCCCTATTACAATGTTTTCGCCCAAGAATATTTTCCTTCCCGAATCCCTGCCAACGCATTAACCCCATAACGCATCCCTCTCCACACTAACGTAAGCAGCTCGCCAAATCCAAGTGCCAACACACCCCCACCCCCCAACTCCCCCTCTTTCTATAAAACTTCTAAGAACTCCATGCCCTCATACATTGTCCTACCCGGTACCCCATATTGTCCTCTGTCAATTTCGTTACCTATCACCTTTTTTTTTATTCTATCCCAATATTCGTGCAAAAAACTTATAATCGCCACACATAACGATATTGCTCGGTAATCCTCTACTTAGTCTCCACCTTTCGGAACAATACCACGACAGCAGTCCCTTTGCCTGCCCCCCATTTCCCCATCATCCTTCATTACATTGAATAACCTAACTAAAAATCCTCTCAATACTCCCAGTCCTAACGAAAAAATCATTAGGCACCCATCTACACCTGGCCCTTACCTAAACTTGCACCAGACAAGCTTGCGAAATCTCACTTCCTGATCGGAACCTTCTAAGTTACCCTATCCATACCAAATCAATCTCACATTGCACGAAACCTCCCATTTCCATTAAAGCTCACCTCGAGATACCTCCGTTTGTGCATATGACCTAAACCATGCCATCCTAGATAACACTCATACCCTCTGTCGTTTACTAATACCTGCCCTCTCTATACCCCCCATCCCCACAAACTGTTAATCCCATCATCTCCGTCGCCACTCTTTCTCTTACGCTTTTCCTCAACACACATGCCAAGGCCTGTCGACCCCATAACACCTCTTTTCCAGCCCACCCAAAACTCGCGCGCCCATCAAATCATCATTTAGCTAATCCCTGATACGCCCTTTAATCCCTCAATATCATCACCGATGACTAGCACTCCCACGCTCGGAGCAGCTCTCAACTGTCCCTCAAGATAAGATTGGTACCCATACTTCAACCGGATATATTCCCTCCCACTATGAATATAAATTTCCTTAATACGAGATTTCGCCTCAATCCCAGCCAACTAACCAATTCACTATTTCCCAGGCGCCCCGCCACCAACTCCTCTCACAATTGAACAATACTGTTGATAACTCTTCTTTGGCAGCAACAACTTGTACAATTGCAACATCCAAAACCCCTTACACCCTTCTCGGCACCCCTCCCAACCTATATCCACCAAAACACCCGTGACAGAAAATACTACGTCCATACCCACACACGATGTATTACAACTGTCCTGGAACGTATATCGATCGAGCCTAGCCGCATACCCCACGTTAATAAATTGTGCTCCACCACCTCACCTCCCTCAACACTGTCAATCCTATCCCGGTAAAAATAAATAAGGGGGGGGGTTTTTTTTGGGGGGGGGGGGGGGGGGGGGGGGGGGGGGTGAAAAAAAAATTAAATAAATTTAA